AAACTCACTCGTGCAAATTAATTCCAAATTGAACTCGAAACCGTATGATTACCTATACTAATAATATACACTCGATTCTGATTGGCTGAGAGCAGTGCAATTCAAGTGTACCAGTGCAAATTACACATCGTAATTCTGGATTATGATTGGCTGAAATACAATAGGAAATTTTCGAAGCCAATGATATTACGTAAAATGATAAAGAAAATTTTGTGCGATAACTTTGAAAAAAGTTTTCTCGAATGAGAAAAATGGCTTCAAGAAAGGTCTTCCAGCACTTCCTCCACCCAAATTTTTTCATGTTTATATTGTTAATAAGTAATCATACGGTTTTTCTCTTTCAATTTGGAATTAATTCGCACTTGTGAGTTTTTCAAAATGCTGAAATTGCACTCGCCGAAGCGGCTCGTGCATTTTCAGCTTTTTGAAAAACTCACTCGTGCAAATTAATTCCAAATTGAAAGAGAAAAACCGTATGATTACTTATACAAAAATTACAAAAATTACAGTCCGGGATTACAGTGTGGTAAAGGGTTTGGAATGATCGCGTTATATTCCGGGAGGCCGGGGGGAGGGGGTATATAGGTATGTGCGGCCCAAAGGGTATGGTTCTTCAGCCGTTTTGGTCATAAATACGGTATCCGGTGGATTCTGGCCATTTTGGTCATAAATAGTGTGTGGTATGGTTTTGTACTTTAGTCTTGGGGCATGCTTTTCAGAAAAAGCTACTTTTTCAAGATAATCGATAAGACCATCAGCAAAAGCCTTTCATAAATTATGTTTAGGGCAACTGTGCTTGCCGCAACGGTCACAAATAGGGTATCGAATTTTTTGGTCAGGTCATAAATAGGGTAGGGAAAATCGCAATTTTAGGTCATAAATAGGATAAGGGTTTTGGGAAGCGGGCCGCACACCCCCCACCCATTTTTTTCTGAGAATACTCCCCTGGGGTTATATTCTAGACCAGAAAATCAGGTGAAAAAGGAAAGACTGGTGGTCTAGGTTTTTGATACCACTGCTGCTGTAGGTAATTTGAAACGGTCAAAACAGAGTTAAGAGATCCAGAAAAGAGCCTAGATGTCACAAATTGTACGCGGATCTCGCCGAGCCGCAGTGATGACAGATAACAAAACCTTCAAGAATTGGAAGTCGAGAAATTCTAGCGCGGCGGGTTGCAACTAGCCAGTTTAATTTTTCACATAGAAACGTATTACCCTTGATCTTTGCCCAGGTCTTGAAGAGAAGACTTATTTCAAGAAATTCTCAAATGACCCGAAGACCCGAGCCACTCACTCTGACGAATACGATAGAACAGGGTACATTATAACTCCCCAGACGATACTAAATGACAGAATTAAGTGTACTTTGCAATTTGAAGGACTCAGATTTAAATAAAGCCATTCATCCGAGCACATGAACAAACCTTTGACTGTAAGCAGACCTCAATGTATTTCATTACGCTCGAGAGTAACGAGAACGCATACTAATTTTGTCTTGGTCTCCCTCTGCCTCATCGAACGCGAAAAATCGAGTTTTTTCGTTGACAAGTGTTCAAATTTTGGCCCCACGAAGATATTTTTGCAGGGGCGACTGACGTTTTTGTCGCGACTCAAGTTGAGGAGGTCATTGGCGGTTAAGGATTTTTTCTCAACTCAGCACATTTGTTTGTGAAGACTCCTGTGCTATCAACTCGGTCGCGTTTAACGACAAATATAACGACTGTTACGTCGTAATGAATGAAACAAAACTGTTAAGTATTCTTATAATTTAATATGACTTCTTCTTTGCTATTCTGTAGCTTCTCAAAAACTACAACATTCAAAATGGCAGTCCAATCAACACATTCCAAAACGAGCACGTATAATTATTGCATATATTGCGAAAACCTTACCGAGTTATGCAGACCTATGTAGTTCGGCAAGGCAAATGGCAAGATTTGGGGTAGACTACGAGTAGTCCCTCTTTCGCTTAGTCTTTCGTGCGTAACGCAAACAACTGTGAGAAAATAATGGCCGCGCGAAATCCTGGGGGCGAGAAGCGCGTGAAAGGAGGGACTACCGCCTAAGCCAGGGAGTTTGAATTATGCGTTGCTCTC